AAGCAACTTCCTTATAGGACATATCCGGCAAATTCAGGATTTGCATCGGTTAGTCCGGAAACAGCAACTGGCACAACGGTTGCTGTAGTGACAGTTAGCGATCCGGACGATGGTCAGAATGCACGGGTTACAATAACTGATGGCAATGAAGAAGATTATTTTCGACTGGAGAGTGGGAAAAATTTTGCAATTTTGCGATTAAATCGATTAGTGGCTGATAAGCCGATTGAGCGATTTTTGCTCAAATTTCGCGCTGTCGACGACGGATCACCGGCACGGTTTTCCGAGCGCGATTTGAAGGTAAATTTAATAGAAAAGATCGTCGAATCCCTGAAGTTGAAAGGCCAAAGATTCCCGTTCTTTTTTAAAATTTAAATTCTCTTCGCAGTTACAATTCTGGCTTTTCTAGAAAAGCCAAAGCATTTGAGCTTTGAGTAGTAAGGTGAAAATTTTTTTGAGGCAGAATCTCACCACACGACCAGCCCAATTCCTGACATACAGCGCCTCAGATAGAAGAATAAAGTCATAGTGTTTCCAGATTTTTGTCCTGAATTTGAACGATACTGCACCGCTGCTAGAAAGTGAACTGATCGAAGGAAGCATATATGAAAACTCAATTGCTGGATCATTTGTGGCCGCTGTGCGAGCTGTCCATCATCGGAATTTACATTTTTCTGCAATTGATGATGATGAGGGCGCTGAATTGTTTGATGTCAGCCAAAATACAGGTAGTTCTTTTTCGTCGAAAATATCTTTCTCTTTCAAATATGCATACCAAAAATACCAGGGCCATTAGGACAATTGATGTGGAGATTTAATGTCACCGATGTTGCTGGGATGCTTCCGCATGTCTGGCGCAGCTCTGCCAGACTCTTTGACTTTAAAGTGTATAACTGCATTTATGCGCATAAGTTTTACATTAGTTAAAATTACAGTACTCTAAATTAATCAACACCAAGACCGCCGCATTTCAAGAGGTACAACTGTGATGCTGAATGGACCGGATGAATCAAAATATTGCTTTTTCAAAAACCATGATATTAGTTTTCCACTGATTAATTCTTCAGTAATTTCAAGTCCCTGTCGTAGGAAAGTTTAAAATGATAAAAATGATTCTCCAGTCAAAAGAAATCGAAGTGTTGCATACAAAGAATAGATTTTAAAATAAATAGGGCA